TGCACCTGTGTATGTGTGTGTGCATGTGTGTGTGAAAGAGAGAGAGACAGAGACAAAGAAACAGAGCCAGAAAGAGCGAAAACAGGAGAGCAAAGGGAGAGATAAGGAAGGAAGAAGGCAGGGGGAAAAGAAAGGAGAAAGGGAGAATAGGTGCTGGATCAGAAATTGCCTAAAAGCGCTGGAGAACTTAAAACTTAACTGAATTAGAGGATAAGTGAAGAGAACCACTTACGACTTTCTTTGTTGACATTAGATAATTATTTTTCTCTAATTTTTCCTAATTAGTTGTTTCAATTTAGTTTCTAGAAATCCTATACTTCCCTATGTAGCAAAAGATGAAAGTTTATATTCTATACGCCATTTTAGCTGATAAATTAAGTTGTGCTCTTTACTAAATTTGTTCTTCCGCCAGGGTACCTATTCTGCAGAAATAACAACCTCAGGACATTTAGGTATTAATGTTATAATTTCCTATCAGTGAGCATATTCATCAATAAGCCCCCAAATTCCTCACAAAGGCAAGCATAAACCATATAAACCCAGAATCTTTGCATTATTGTATAGAATGTTTGCTTTCCGTATGAGGCAAACACGAGTGGCAATGTATCACAGAGGCAGCGTGTCCTATAAAGCTCTGAAGCCAGAACCGCTAGGTCTGAATTACAGCTCTACCACTTACTAGTTATGTGACTGTGTTAAAGCTGCTTAAATCATCTCCTTTGTCCCACTTTCCACATCTGTAAAACTACGGGAATAATATACCTACCTACCTCATGGATTCGCTATGCAGATAGAATGAGTAATCCATGAAGCATCTAGTATAGCAATTGGCACAAAGTGCCATGTAAATGTGAACTCTACTACTGCGGATAAGAGCTTTATATATACAAATATACAAATTTAGTATATATGTGTATATGTGTCTGTGGGGGCGAAAGAGGGCAATTGAATAAAGACCAAAAAATACATGAATGTTGAAATGCCAAAGTTAATACATAAAGTTAACAATAAGCTCATTATAATAGTTCTGTAAATTTTCCACAAACTGTTATTCACCAGATTGCAAAGTTGCAATTATCTTTTCCAAATTCTTATATAGCAAATCAAAATATCACTAGTATTTCAAAACTAATTTAAAGACAGAAAATACAACCAAACTTCTATTTAATATGGCTTCTAATTTTGGGGATCTAAAAGCTAATATTTACAAGTGCAGTTTTAAGTACTTTACGTGTACCAATTCAGTGCTCGTGTCAGCACTATCTGAGAAAGGACTGTTAATAGCCATTCCTATTTTACAGATGAAAAACAAGGCACAGGGAGATTAGAAAGCTATTAATTGGGAGAATTGGGATTTGATCATGAGAAGACTTAGTCCTCAGCCTAGTCTATTCACCATAGTTTGTCTAACATGCATTATTATTTTTTTGTACTTCATAATGTAAGAATTTCAAACAGTCAGAAATGCAGTGTGGAGCATATTATTAATCATGTGACCTACAGATTGAATTTAAACTACATTTTAGTGGACACTTATTTTCAAAACTAAACATGACATATAATTTTATTTGTCAACAAAATATTTTCTTACACCATTAATTTAAATTAGTTACAATAGAGTTCATCACTCTACTTCTAAAATGTCAAATTAGTCTTTCTATATTATGCATGCAATTATTATATTTTAATCAGTTACATTAAAATATTAATAATATACTCATAAGGTACAACATATATTTACAAATAACATTTATTACATAACAGATGTAAAGATAAATTAAACTTCTGAAGGGTTCCCGAAAGTGTATATTACTGCAGAAGGAGTTTGTAGGACAAAAGAATCACTAACGTCTCTGTACTAAAATTTGATGATTCCATCAACTAACTTTTAAGGCTTATGCATGAACTCAATATATGTCCAAATTTTAGAAATCTAAAATATAAATAGTAATTTCATTCTCAATATATATCTCACATTTATTATTGTTCTTTAAAAATAATCATAAACACCCTTATAGAGACATAGTCTATTGATAGCATAATTTAAATGAACAGATAAACAGGGAAAATTCAGTTAATAAAACACTCTTTATTTTATATGTAGTAAAGGAATGCTTGAGTTTTTAAACTGGCTTTTATAACTTTTAAAAATTGTTTTGCACACACTGCATACACATCCTATAGTCTGTGTCGTACAAAGCTATTTCTTCCTTCAGTCCAAGGTCTCTTATTGTAGGCAAGTTATTTCAAGTCTCGTTACAAGGACTTCTCTTAGGGTGGTATTATTTGACTATGTCAGTTTATTTACCCTTTTCTTTGCACATTTTCACAAATGACCAGGATTCAAAAATAATTAATATGATTGGTTGCTAGGTATAAGGGGATACTGTGGCTATGAGGAATCCGCCTTAAAAATTGTTTTTGAAATGTTGAATTTGGTTACTTAGGAGGGAAACTTCCCATTCTCAGTGTTCGTTAGCAGGAAAATCAAAACTCAAACTGTGACGAGTGGTGAAACCTAAATTTCTAAGGTTTTTCAAGACATGGTCATTTTAGAGTTTTGCTTTCAAACCTGGCCCTAAACCGAAGACCCAAATGGGTTAAGAAACAAAGATATTTCCGGTTATTCACAGAACAACAAGAAAAAAAAAACACCACACTTGATGTATGATAACATTTGGCCTTGGTGACAGGTGACTGTTGATTTTTCCTTATGTGATTTAGAAACAGAAACTAAAGGATATTTGATGTCTTTTTTTAGCTCACTCTTGGAGCAAAAAAGGTTGCTGGAAGATGTGAAATTGTGCCTATAAAGTTTATCACTAGTACCAATACCATAAGGATGAAGAGATTCAGCCAAGTTTTATTACATACACCGAAGCATAAAAGTATTTTTATTTTAGCCTAAGTGTAGGCAACAGCTGCAGAGAGTTCTCAATCAAGAAATACGGTACAGCATTAAAATGCTTCAAACAATTTTGTTATATATCTTATGAATCAGTACAAATGTAAACTTTTACTAGTCAGTTAGCTCTCCTGGCAGGCATGATCATAACTTGACCTTGCTCAGCCTTCTCCTACATACAAGTCAGAGACCACCTGGTTTTAGTGCCATCACCGATTCCTTTGGTGGCAGTGAGGCACGCGCTGCAGGATGGCGAAGGAAACGAGAACTGGTCACCAACCACAGAGCTGTGCTTTGTGGTGCTCTGAACTCCAGGGTAAGAGGGGATGACCTGTTCTTGGCTGGTGGAAGCTTGTTCACATGTCCCCATTTACAGGTTCTACAGATCCTTGTGGCTGGTGAGATTTCTTTTTTTTTTTTTTTTTTTTTATTTCAGCAAATTATGGGTGTACATACGTTTAGGTTACGTGTGTTGCCCTTGGTTCCCCCCCCACCGAAGTCCGTGTTTCAAATATGTCCATCCTTCGGGTAGTGCGCATTGCACTCCTTGTGTATACAAATACCCGTCCCCTCCTCCCTCCTCCCCTCTCCTCCCGCCGCCCTTCCCGTGGTACAGATGATTAGGTTAGGTGTGTTGCCCTTGGTTCCCCCCCCACCGAAGACCGTGTTGTGAGCTTTCTGATAAAAAGCTGAAGTGGACTCTACCCCATTGTCACTTTGGAACATACGTGGGGCACCTAGCAAGCAGAAAACATATTACCTGGTACATAACTTTAGTTGCAGTTAGAACAGTGGTGTCAGTACACAAACGTTGATCAAGTACAGAAGTGTAACATTTAATACAATCTCTGAATTTGATCTACGCCATAAGACAGGCAGTTTGCCTAGCCTGATATTATGGAAGCATCCCTTGTGATTGCTTGGTTACTACATGCTGACGACTCATAATTTAGTATTCAAAAAAGGGAAAAATAGATGAAGATTGGTTTTCAGTTTTTCTGTCTCCAGCCTTGGGTAATTTTCATGGAAATGAAGTTTTTTTCAAATGTTTGCTTTAATCATGCTTGTAAGGAAGTCTATATTTAATTTATTTGCTCGTTTCAAAAATCTAATGGGAAAATTTTGTTTACAAAGTCATATGTGCTACCTATTTTTATATACTGTGTATACACCAACACTACACATAAACGTGGTTTTCAATCTTTGTCTTTGTATTCATTTAGTCCAAAATTGTGAGCAAGGATTTGGTTGAAATCATTGAGCTCTCTCCTTTTTAAATTAACTATTAAAGGACTAATTGGGAAATCTCCTTAGCCAAATCTTAAAGTATTGTTAGCAATAATTGTCCTTCTTATTCTATTATTATTCCAAAATCATCTTTTACTTTTTCCCAAATTACTTATTTCATAGAATTTACATGTAATAATAAAAATGTTAAAATGTGTCTTCGTTGTGAAGTATATATGGTCATTTTTGTAACACAGACAGCTTTCAAGAAAATTTCACTAAACATATTCTGGATGTTATTGGATATCTCTTAAATAAATGATTCTAGAAAATAAATGCAAAGGTAAAAATATTCTACTCCAAGTGTCTAATCCAATATTTTATTCACACACATCAGGGAAGTAAAATTTGAATGGCAAAGCAAAATATAAACATGATAATTGTGGTCTTCTGTGGTCTTTTCTTTTGAAGCATAATGGACACTGAAGACATGGGCAAAACCTCAGAACAAGGATGACTGTTTTAGGTAGTAATGAGTGAAGACTGTGAAGTATGAAAACTCCAGGGATGTCACTGGCTCTTGTTATAATTCACAGAAACCCAAAGAATAGAATATGAGATCTTAAACTTTTTTTTAAAGACTTTATTTTTCAGAGCCGTTTTAGGCTCACAGGCAAATTTAGGGGAAGGTACAGAGATTTCTCCCCTACCTTCTGCCCCCACACATGCGGCCTCCCCCATTCTCAACATCCCCCACCAGAGCGGTACGCTGTTACAGCCGATGAACCTACATTGACACTACTACATCGAAACTGTGGATTCTAAGCTGTTTTAAAGCAGGGTGATTTTCTCCTTTCTTTTATCGTAGGATTACAGAGTGAATATTTTTCTTCGTCAGAAATGGAACGATCCTCGCCTTGCATATAGCGAATATCCTGACGACTCTTTAGACCTCGACCCTTCCATGTTGGACTCCATTTGGAAACCTGATTTGTTCTTTGCCAATGAAAAGGGTGCCAACTTTCATGAAGTCACTACCGACAACAAACTACTCAGAATTTTCAAAAATGGAAATGTTCTTTATTCAATAAGGTGAGTCACAAATAAATTCCTGATTTCAGTGAATTAGAGTATTGTGGAGTTTTTTTGTTTTTTGGTTTTTTTTACATTTTTGGTGAGAGTTTTGAAACTTTTGAGCAAGTGCTATTATTGTTCCACTTGAGTTCCTCTAATATACCATTTCCCAAATATGTCTAATCCACAATAACGGCCCAAGTCCCAGATCCAGGAACTGTATAGGTAACTCTTGGAAATCCACTTTTGTACAAGTGGCCCAGGTGATTCTTAACATCAGCCAGATTGTCAAGCGTCTTAAAGGCAAACGGAAAGGCAGCTGAATCATACATCATGATTGTATTTTTAAGTATATGTATCTCCTTTAAACATTTATAGGTGAAAAAATGTTTAGGTTTGCTTGTCTGGAATATATTTTATACAAATTATTTTTCAGGTATATGTACTTTTTAATAACTTTGAGTTTCTCTGATCATTCTTTTGCATTTTTACCCTACCTGTACAATTTTTAGCCTTTCTAACATGCTGCAAAGTGGTGATTTGCTGATAAACTTTGAAGAAAGCAGGGAAAGAAAAAAATCACTGTACTATGTAAAAGTGGATGACAATCAAAATCTTTACCTTTACCTGGAAAAGAGCTTATTTCTGTTTTACTTACTCATTATAGATTTCTAAGAAAATCATGCAGTATTTAAAAAATAATACCAAAATATAACAACAATTAATACCAAAACATAAACACTAATAAAATTTTTTTCACAGTTGGACTCTAGAAATCATTTAACTTTGGGAGTTCACTAAATAAATATCAAACCAGTACAAAGTCGGTAAATAGCTAGAGTGATATACTTAATGATTTTTGTCACATGTGGAAAATCTTCTAAAATAAAATAATTATCTTAAAAATCTTCCATAGTTATTTTCTTAATTTAGCTCAATTGTGAAGAACAGGAAATCAGGAACGGAATTCATGTCACTTTCTTAGGAGAGGGAGAATATGTTCTACTTACAGCAACAGGTGGCTGTTAATTATATCACTAGTAACATGTTTTAAAAGGTATCAAAGTAGGCTTAATATTGAGGCTTTTGGCTTAAAATTAATTCCTTATATTTTATCTCTCATTTTTCCTTTTGTTAATTTTTCTTCTCTTCAGGAATGGGGATATTTGATTTTGAGTTAATCTGTCCAATATCGGGAATGTTTCTATTTTTGCTAAGAAATAGTATAAAATAAAGCAGTAAGAATGAAAATTTAATCTCAGTAGGTTACTGATTTTGAAAACATTTTTATGCATAGTGGTTTTATAAATAATGTTTTATCCTATGTCTGCTTTTTGTCTTTTCATCCCAATATATTATATCTGCTTTTCACATTTTTCTATTTCATGTGAATAAATTCCCATTACATATATTTATTGTTTTCTAAGAGTGACAGAGTTACATCACTTTATAGTGGACTGACACTGTCATCAGATTTCAGAAAACCAACAAATATGTGTTAATATAATCTTGAATGACTAATTGCTACACATAACATGAAGGAAGATTTCAGCTTCCATCACTAAGTAAGCCCTATACTCCCATGTGGATAAATAAATTAATGGTGAATCGCAGGTCTGAGCAAGAGAATTTTGAACCTTTTTGGAAATTTATCAAATACCATAAGTATCAAAAGTTAGTAAGAATTTTGCTTTTGGGGAAATGAAACAGACATAATTTTCCCTATTCTGCCTGACAAATACAACTAAGAACCTTGCATACCATATATATAATTAGCCTAAGGAGATTCTCAAAGGTGGACATAAGAAGACAGACTAGCTAAGGACCTTGGAACCTGAGGAACAACGTGGAGGTGAATTCCCAGGATTTTCTTTTTGCCTCATATATCCCAGACATGGAGATGAAGAAGCTGGTAAACATCAGCAAACATCAACCTAGAAACATCAACAGGTGCAGACAAAAAATAGTACCTATAATAGCCTAATTTTTCTAGTCAGTCTAACATTCTCCAGATGTTAGGAAAAGGGAAGCCTAGCAAGATCAAAAACCTTTGGACAACTGCTCTACTCCAGCCAAATACTGCATGAAAAAATGTGATCCCACCACAAGTCCATACTCAAACCAGCAAAGCCCAAGTGGGCAGCCTAGACTTCCAGTTTTGCTATGTTGTAATGAGGTACTCCCAACATCTATGCTGAGGTAGTGTTAGGGAAGGACAAATAGCGAGCTGGACTTTCAGGCCTCACCATCCTATAGTGAGCCTCCTACCTTTCCGTGTCAGGTGAGACCATGGAGAGCCAGGAATTCCACCCTCACCCCACAGAAACAAGGCATGCGCTCCCTCCCTGCTGGGGTAGTTTTCAGATGAGTCCTAGTGGAGAGTTAAGACTTTCCAGCATCACCCAGCAGTAATGAGGCCCCTCCCACCATGGTGTCAGTAGAGACCATGTCGGGATCTGGAACATCCAGCAATAACTAAGAGCCTCTCCCCTCACTTGTCAATATAGAGAAACCTGGGCTTCCACCTCCATCTAGAAGTAACAAGGTAGCACTTCTCCTTGCTCTGAAAGAGCAGTGTCAGAGAAAGCCAGTTAAAAAATGAAAGTTTAAATGAGATCCATAGTCTAATAAAATAACATAAAATGTCTAGTCTTCAGTCAAAAATTATTCATCATACAAAGAACCAGAAAGATCTCAAACTCAATGAAAAGACAATCAACTAATGCCAACCTCAAAATGACAGAGATGTTCAATACCTGACAAAGAATTTAAAGTAGACATGATAAAAATGCTTCAATAAGCAATTACAAGTACGCTTGAAACAAACCATAGAAAGCCTTAGCAAAGAAACAGACACTAGAAAGTGAAACCAAATGAAAATTTTAGAACTTAAAAATACAATAACAAAAATAAAAACTCAGTGGATAGGTTAAACATAAAAATGGAGAAGACACAGAAAAGAATCGGTGAACTATAAGAATAATGAACAATAAAGAAATAACAGATGGTGAAAGGCAGAGCCTCAGGGACCTGTAGGAGTACAACAAAAGATCTAACATCCATGTCATCGGAAAAGATCTAACATTCATGTTATCACAGTCTCAGATAAAGAGAGGGAAAGATATGGAGCTAAAAAAAAAAAAATGATGACTAAAATTTTTATAAATTTTGCAAATGACATAAGCCTACAGATTCAAAAAGTTGAGTCCCGAAACAGGATAAGGTCAATGATATCCATACCAAGACACATAATACACAAATTTCTAAAAACCAAATAAAAATCCTGAAAGCATTCAGAGAACAATGACACCTTACTTACAGAGGAAAAACAATTAGAATGAGAGCAGATTTTTTATCAGAAATCATGGAGGCCAGAAGGAAATGATAAATATTCTTCAGATGCTGAAAGAAAGGAATTGTCGTCTCAGAATCTTATTTTTTTTTTTTTATTTCAACATATTTCGGGGTTACAAATGTTTAGGTTACATACATTGCCTTTGTCCCACCTGAGTCAGAGCTTCAAGCATGTCCATCCCCCAGACAGTGCGCATTGCACCCATTAGGTGTGTATATACCCATCCCTTCCTTCCCCCTCCCACCTGCCAGACACCCAATGAATGTTACTACTATATGTGCACTTAAGTGTTGGTCAGTTAAGTTGGTTAATACCAGTTTGATGGTGAGTACATGTGGTACTTGTTTTTCCATTCTTGTGATACTTCTCTTAGTAGAGTGGGCTGCAGCTCTATCCAGGATAATACAAGAGGTGCTGGATCACCATTGTTTTTTGTGGCTGAGTAGAACTCCGTGGTATACATATACCACATTTTATTAATCCACTCATATATTGATGGGCACTTGGGTTGTTTCCACATCTTTGCAATTGTGAATTGTGCTGCTATAAACATTTGAGTGCAGATGTCTTTTTTACAGAATGTCTTTTTTTCCTCTGAGTAGATGCCCAGTAATGGGATTGATGGATCAAATGGTAGTTCTACTTGTAGCTCTTTGAGGTATCTCCATATTACTTTCCACAGAGGTTGTACTAGTTTGCAGTCCCACCAGCAGTGTATGAGTGTTCCTATCTCTCCACATCCATGCCAACATTTATTGCTTTGGGACTTTTTGATAAAGGCCATTGTCACTGGAGATAAGTGATTTCTCATTGTGGTTTTGAATTGTATTTCCCCGATGATTAGAGATGTTGAGCATTTTTTCATATGTTTGTTGGCCATTACTCTATCTTCCCTTGAAAAGTTTCTGTTCATGTACTTTGCCCACTTTTTGATAGGGTTGTTGGATTTTTTCTTGCTGATTTTCCTGAGTTCTATATAGATTCTAGTTATCAGCCCTTTATCGGATGTGTAGCATGGGAATATTTTCTCCCATTCTGTAGGTTGTCTGCTCTCATGATAGTTGGCTGTGCAGAAGCCTTTTAATTTGATCAGATCCCATTTATTTATTTTTGTTGTTGTTGTGATTGCCTTTGGGGTCTTCTTCATAAATTCTTTGCCTAGGCCAATGTCTGTAAGAGTTTTTCCAACATTTTCTTCTAGAATTCTTATAGTTTCATGCCTTAGGTTTAAGTCTATTATCTACCGTGAGTTGATTTTTTTGAGAGGTGAGAGGTGCGGATCCTGTTTCAGTCTTCTGCATGTGGCTATCCAATTTTCCCAGCACCATTTATTGAATAAGGATTCTTTTCCCCACTGTATGTTTTTGTCTGCTTTGTCAAAGATTAGATAGCTATATGAGGATGGTTTAATATCTAGGTTCTCAGTTTTGTTCCATTGGCCTATGTCTCTGTTCTTGTGCCAGTACTTTTTTATTTTAAATTATATTTTAAAGTATTGTTTCACTTTAGACAGGTTTGGGGTGGCTTAGTTTGCAAAACTATATCACCAGGTAGCATGGAATAATCACTTTGCAAAGATAGAATGTTTGGATTATTTTCATTGACAGAACTGAAATACAATATGTATGTGTGCATGTGTGTGTAGTGTAGTATATCCTTATCC